TGTTTGTTCTTAGGTTGTTATTGTTGTTCCTATGTTCCCTCTAGTTTCTCTGTTTACTTTAGTCATGATTATTCTAGTTTTCTTATTCCCCATTTGATTATTTACCTTTGTCTACAGGTTTGCTTGGTCTGTGTTTCTGTTTTTTATTAGTTACTTTGCCCATGCTCAGTCTTTGTATTTGTTTCACCTGTTCCTTCTGCTTCCCTGCCTCCTTGTCACACCTGTTCCCTGTTTTCTCTGATTACCTGCCCTTTGTTATCCCTCAGTATACAGTATTAGTTGGTTTTGTGTCATTGTTTGTTGCTGGTTCCTTGTGTTTGTCATACCCCGTTCTCAACCCACGTATTTGTGCTGAGTTTTTCCATGTTCCAGCAGAACCTCTTGTAAGTTTTTGGATCAGGACTTTGTTTGTATCTGCAGTGCCTTGTTTGGTTTCTTTGATAACCTCTGGAAATAAAGCTGAAAACGTTTTACAACATGTTGCTGCCCAGCTCTTGTCTGCACTTTGGTCTGCCCGCAAACCACATTTTGACAACTAACAATAATAAACAACCCAGAATTGATCAGAATAAAAAAATAAAATGAAAACCAAAACACAAACAACTATGGATTATTGGAGATCTAGGTCTGAACTTTAACTGGGCTGCTTTAACACAGTATGCTTTGATATTTAACCCATTCCATTTTATCTCTGGCTGTATGTAAGTTTTAAATCTGTTATCCTTCTATGCCCCGTATGTCACTAAACCTTTACCAGTTTAGCTGTTTTGACACTTTTCCATAAAAGGTGTGTATTACACAACTCATACAAACTAAGTCAAAAAGTCAGTGATGTATTTATTGGTGTTTATGGTTTTGAAGGTAAAAGTAACATTTTAAAAGAAATTATGCATCTGATGTGATGAAAGCTTTTTTGACTTTTCTTTTACATAGAGAGGACTGAGACAACTTGAGCTATGAATTACTAGTACATAAAGCAATCATGATAACTCAGTTTGGTTGTTTGGAAAAGTTATACTCGCACACTTGTGCTATAGATTAGCCAGAAGTGAAATCCAATTTTTCCTTGTTGTTTTAAGCCACCTCCTGCAGTGACTACGCAACGCAAACCCCCTCTGCTATATTTGCAATTCTACAGCAATTGAAAAAACATTTTTATATGTTTCCTTTAGTTTCCAGTGTATTGGTCCCTTTGCCAAGTAATACCTATGTTTTGTATCCAAGTAGTCAAACCATCATATCTGTTTATTTTTCTTTGCAGTTAAGTATTTGTAACACATTATTGACATAAGCATAAACATGCTCAATCACATGGATGGAGTGCTTATAAAACAAATCCCAAAGTTCAAGCGAATGACCCAGAGGTTGTCCTGCAGACGCACAGAGTTCTAGAGGAGCTAAATTCTTATTTTTCAATCCAGTCATCTTTGTTTTCAGGTGTGCACTAGACTGTTTATAGTCAATATATTTTCCATTGATTTAATAAATGCACTGTAGAGTATTTTCTACATTGTTTCTTGTCACTGTGTTTTGCAACTGTCAGTCCTGCTCAACAAGTGTGAGATTCAGTGACCCTTTGCAAACATTTTGCTCTGACTTTATCCTCACCCTTTGCAGACATGGATCCCCTGTCAACTCTCCTATTCCCATCAGCAGGTGACACATCCCAAGGCTGCTAATAAGAATAATTATTGCAACAGTGTATTGTTTCTTTAAGAAGTGGGTTGCTTTGGTGCTGATAAATAGAAAAGTAATGATTTTGATCTCATGTTAACAAACTATCACTTTCACAAAAAAAAAAAATAAATAAATATATAAATAAAAAACTCCTCATCCTCCCACACAGGTCTCCAACTAAACAAATATATTTTGAGTGTTTCTGTCCTCAAAGGCTGTGTGGCGTTTTTAAGTAATGTTATCCTTTTTGTCCTTAATTGGTGTTATGTTTTGGGAGGACTGCATGATGGTGCAGCTGGTAGCACTGTTGCTTTGCAGCAAAGCAAGAAGGTCCTGGGTTAAAATCCCAGCCTGAAGGCTTTCTTTCTGCATGGAGTTCACACGTTCTCCCCATGCATGCGTGGATTCTCTCCGGATACTTCACAATACAAAAACAGAACTGTTAGTTTATTTAATTGGTCTCGATAAATTGTTTTTAGGTGTGAGTGTGCATGAATGTTTGTCCTGTGTGTCTCTGTGTTGCCCTGTGATAGACTGGCGAACCTGTCCAAGGTGCACCTCGTCCAATCACCGTTGTAGATGCTTCTAGCCTAAACTGTAAGGATAAGCGGGTAGATGATGGATGGATGGATTTATTACTGTCAGGATCTGTCTGTGTTATGTTTTTGTGGTTGTTTACCTTTCTGCTCAGCCAGGTGCTTTTCTGTTCATCCATGTTTATTAGATTCCTGCTGTTCAATTTTTGTTATTTCGTGTGTTTAGTTTTGTTGCTTTCTGGGTTCCGGTGTTAGATGTGTTTAGTTATATTCTGATAGATCTGGTTTCCTCTTGTTTATGTTAAATCTAGCCATTGTTTTCATACATTCAGGTCACCTCCATGCTGATCAGGTTAATTTGTCATTTTCCCTCTGTATTGTTTAGGTTCCCTGGTCCTCAGCTGTCTCACATTCTCCTGATTAGCTCCTCTCCCAGTTCTTTGGTTCACACTCCACTTCCCTCAGTATTTAAGTTCTCTGGTTTTCATTGTTATCCACCAGATTCTCTTCACTTGTGACTGCATTTACTACTGCATACTTCCCCAGTTCCACGTCTCAGTGTTCTTGCCTGTTAACCTGCCTACGTATGTAAGTGTTTCTCAATTCTTATCAAATTTTGTTGACTCACGATGCTCCCGTCCACCTGCCTGCATCTTGGTCCTGCTCAACCATACATTATGACAGATACACAAGCTAAAGGATCTCTGCTTCAAAGACAGCTCTCCCCCAGGGTTTAACCTTCACTTCCTGTTGGGCTTAGAAAGCAAACATCAAAGAATGTGGTTTCTAACTTCCATTATATTATTCACATGATTAACTCTGTAAAAGCAGCACATAACAAACATACAATGCCAAGTCAAGGTTGTGGATTAGTTTGACAGTTATAGTTACAGGTTATCCAGCAATCCCAGCATGCAATAGAAAGGAGGTATTAGGAGTTAAAGAGGAGAGTCTAAGGATCTCGTGAGTTGTGTGGCAAAAGCTTCACAGAAGCAACCTTAAAGCTTGTCATCAAAAACAGTACAGGATCTAGGTTAAGCATGAGCTTATCCAAAACCGCTGGTTTCCAGTGGTTTACACAGAGTGAAAGAAGGAGAGAAACTATGACTGCACAGTTAAATCTATTATTCTTTCATTCAATGTGTACTCTAATTCACTTTTCAGTAATGCACTGATAAAAGGACTGACAGAAGTGGAACTTTTTAGTTGAGCATTGTATTATTAGGTCTGACATAAAACAAACATAACATGTCATTAAAAGAGCATCAGGATGTGGGCAACGTTCTGTAACTGATGGAACTGTGCATTCTGCTCTCTGCCAGAAAACCCTGGAAGATAATGTCTGTTCATTAGTTAGTGACCTTAAGCTCAAGTGCACTTGGTTTATGCAGCAGGAAATGATCTAAACCACATTAACAAGTCCATCTCTGAATTGCTCAAAAAAAAAAAATCTAAAGTTTTGGAGTAGGCAATTCAAAGGTTGCACTTAAATGCAATTAAGAGGCGGCAGCATAACCTTAAACAGGTTGTTTGTGCTCAAACACCTTCCATTGTGGCTGAATTAGAATAATTCTGTAAAGAAGTGTGCCAAAATTCCTCCACAGCAATGGAAAAGATAACTATGTCTTGTTATCAGTTGTTGCTGCCAAAGGTGGCACAACTGGTTATTATGTTTAGGAGGTAACTATTTTTCACTAAGAGCCTGGTTGCTTTGGATAGCTTTTTTCTCCCTCTTAAGGAATTAAATCCTTATTTAAAACATGTTTTTTTTATTGTTTTACCAAGTTATCTTTGTCAGATGTTAAAAGTGGTGTCATGATCTGATACATTTAAGTGGAACACAATAGCAAAAACTGATGAAATATGCATTGTATTTAAACTGACATTATGCTACTAGAAACCGGTATTTACTTATGTAAACATACAGCATCCCTGTAGACTAAACTGTACCTAATAACTGCACCTCCTGATTAAGTTCATTATCATTTTTTTCACCTGCAGTTGACACACTCTTTTGAACAGACTTCTTAAACCAATCACAGCACAGACACAGACACAATAATTATACAATTGGCCTTTCTAAACAGGAAACAGCAACTCACAAGAGAACAGAAAAACGATCCATTACTTGTCCAAATTCTGGAAACAGCCTGTCTTTAAAGTTCATCCACAATGCAAGGGAGCAGTGTTCAGTTATCCTCCAGCTGTGAGTGAATGGGAATTGTTCCCTCTGCCCTGAGTTCTTCCTTCCTTTAGATGTCATGTGCAGTTAGGAAGTCTTTCTCCAACATTGCAGTGGAGTAGTCAACAACATAATGTTCTCTGCAACCTTTGAACATTTCCACATTTTGTTGTTACACCATTCAGTGACAATGTACTGTGTTGTAATTGATAGATGAAAAGACTGTGGCATGAAATTGTAGAGTGGAATAAAATTGGTTTTTGATTTTCCCATTTCATTTTTTTTTACTGAAAAGTGTGGGTTGCATTTGTGTTTAGCCCTCCTTACTCTGATACCCCAAAAATAAAATCCAGTGAAATCAAATGCCTTAAGAAGTCACCTAAATGAACCTCAGCATAATAGGATAAACACCACTGTTCTTTGAAGGCCTCAAAGGTTTATTAGAGAACATTAGAGAATCAAGGGCATCGTAATGACCAAGGAACACAGCAGATACTGTAAATCAGAGAGGTTTTAATCAGGGCTTGGTTTTCAAACAACAACCCAAGCTTCAAAAATTTTACAGAGCCCCAGTCCGGCATCTAAAAATAGACCGTTTGGCAAAAATGCAAACTTGTTAAGACATGGCCATCAACCTGGAGTGACAGGCTAATCAAGGAAGACATCAGATAAACAATCTGATCACAGAACCTCCTAAAGAGCCGCAGAGATCCACTGCTCATGAGGGAGAATCAATTCTAGTGTAATATATTCTAGATGGGAAATCTCTTAAAAAATCCCCAAAAGACTTGATATATTTGTAAGACAAAAATAATTAGATTGAAAGATGGTTCCTCAAAATATTGATTCTGGGCTGAACATATTGTCTCCTGCTTTTTAGATTTTTCTTAGTAAAAATACCTTCAAAGTGTGTGAATACTTCTGCAAGACATTGTATTCCTATACCGTATAATTCTTCAGGTTTATTGTATTTTTCTTGAAATCAGATATTGATATACCATAGTTGGTACATTTATAGCAGGAAAGACAGACAGCTTGTATCAGTCTGTGACAGAGGAGGAGATCATAGTGAAGGTACTAGAAGCAACTGCTAAACTTGGATACAAAATGTATCTAGGTCATGGGGCACAACCTGCTGAAACACATGGGACACAGTACATAAAACTTAACACAAAATATACTGAATTTCTAGAAGCATCAACTTTGTCTTCAATAAGCATAGATGTTTCATAGGATACCAGAAGTTCAACAATATATAATTTCAACCTGGAAAGACTCACATAAAGGAGAAACAACAAGAAGACGGTTAAAGAATTTATTAATGAAAGATTATTTATTTAGCGCTCGGACCCCTGAGGGAAACGTAAACGCTGAGGATGAAGTAGGTTTGAATAAACATCTTAGGATTATGATTAGGTATGTCTTCCCCCTGGGATCCAATCCTGGTGGTGGTGTAGGCCTTGGTATGGAAGGAGTTGGGAGCCCATGGTGGAGAAGGGGTGGAGGAGGGTCGAAGCACAGCAGAAGAGCGGTGTTTTCCATGCAGAGGGTCGAAGCACAGCAGAAGAGCGGTGTTTTCCATGCAGAGGGTCTTTAAAAGTGATGCCCTGGGAGATGATTGGCTGAGGAGGAGTGCGGACCTGCCGTTGATTGGAGCAGCCAGTGAGGAGTGATTGGACGTGGTGGGGGTGGTGAGTCTTCCATGTTGAATTTTCGTTTAAACTCCATTTGGCAAAAAGGTGTCTTCTGTCAGTCTATCCATCCATTTGTATCTACGTATCCAAGATAGGGTCGTTGACGTAACAGGTCCAGAGGGAATACAAGATATTCCTCTCCCTTGCAACTTTCCAAAATCCCATGGGGAATTCCAACCCCAAGACAAGAAATTTGCACTCTGATTGAGGTATAGACTCCCTGCCACAGTGAGACTAATCCACCTTCTAAGTTGAGAATCATTTCCTCAGATGTAGAGGAGATAACTATCCTACTAGTGTTTCTTGGAGGACATTTATTTTCCATACCCGCTTCTTCCATACAGGGTCGCGGGGGAGCTGGTGCCTATCTCCAGTGGTCTAAGGGCGGGAGGCGGGGTACACACTGGACAGGTCGCAAGTCCAGAAACCATGCACACACCCATTCACACCTAAGAGCAATTCAGAGAGACCAATTAACATAAAAGTCATGTTGTTGGACTGTGGGAGAAAGCCGGAGTACCCTGAAAGAACTCACAGATGCACGGGATGAACATGCAAACTCCATGCAGAAAAACCCCTGTTCGGGAGTCAAGCCCAGGACCTTCTTGCTGCAACACAACAGTGCTACCCTCTGCACCAGCGTGCAGCCCACAAGCAGAACTACATCATCAAAAAACAAACAAACAAAGGTGAGACCTGAGGCTGCTAAACCTGACAATATCCTTTCCACCACTATGCCTCGAGATTCAGTCCATGAACATGGCAACCAGGATAATAACAAAGGGCAAGCTTAATTGAGCCCAATCTCCACTGTAAACAAATTTCATGGTATCAGCCATGTCAGAATCTACACAAAGCACCATGATAAAATGCAACCTCCAGAGAGGCATGTCATCATTAGGTGCAGAGAGAGTTGAGTTGCAGTCTAGGACATGGGTCTGGGTGT